AAAAAGGTTTCTATTATTATTTTTGACCATTTCTCTCAGTTCTTCCATAGTTAAATGTGGTTCTCCAGGATTTTGTTTTAAAAAAATTCCAGTTTGTTGTAAAATTTGTTTACGCTGAATCATGTTTAAAGCCCAGTATGAAAATCTAGGATGATTTGCAAAACGATAAATCCATTTACTGTCTTTTTTTCTCTGCAAATTTTATTAGTTGTTTAACCTTTTCTTTCAGAGTTGCATTTTTTAAAATTGCAGGATTTGTTGGATCTCCTTTACCATCAGGAAACAATGTTGGAAATGCCATTGTGGCTAAATATGGAGTGACATACTCATTTAATGGGCTATTACCTAAAGTCGGCCAGTTTATTTGTCCCTGGGAAAGATTGTCACGAATGAAATCAATTTCTTGTTGGTGGGTGTCATTTACAGGTAGAAAACTTGAAGAATCTGTATTACTGTCATAAACAATATCTTCTTCACTAGCAACAGGACCAAAATCTGGGAGGGGAGTTTTATTATCATCTGTTGTAGTGTCATCTGTTTCTATTGAAAGAGGTTCGCTGGGAACATCATTTTCTGGTAAAGAATTTAATGCGTTATAATTTAATTCAATGTCTGAATAATGTGGATTATTTTTAGTGAGCCAGTGAATTGCATCTGATACCACTTGCCTTCTTACTGAAAGGTTTTTAACAAAATTTCCCTTTCCTTTAGCTCTAACAATAATTATTGATAAATCTTTAGGGTATCTTGGAAGTGATTGAGCCAATTCACTGACATTTTGAGGTAGATTTATTGTATGTCCAGAATATCCTCTTTGTCCTCCTGGTTTGATATAAATATGCATTATAGGAAGAGCTTTAGCAATTAACATTTCTTCTACCTGCGTTAAACCAGAAAGTTGTGTGGGTACTGTTGAGGGTATCATAAAGTTTTCCTTGGAGAATTTTTTTGGTGACTCTTTTTCTCTTGAGCACCTCGAACATGTATAATTTTTGTGGACATTTTGGTGTTACTCTTAATGGCCAGGCTTCAAAACAAACTTTGCATTGTTAAATGTTATAATTATTGGAATTATGGAATTTAATTATGTTTTGTTTTGCCCAGTCTTGTTTGTGAATATCTCCATGTTTTTCTGCATCAAAAGTTAATAAGTACTGTTTCTTATCACATGTCTTTTTCACTTTTTTTGCAATATTCCTTGTAGTTTGCTCTTGCTTCCTTTTTCTCTGCCAAGCATCTCGCCTGCCTAGGTTTCTCTTCTTAATTTTCTCATCAGATTGTAATAATTTGGATTTTAGATACTTTAAGAGAGAATTTTTCTGGAGACCGCGTGAAATCCAAAAAATGTGGCACATGCCTAGAAAAAGCCCTACCTTCATACTTCGCTCAAAGATACCTTAGGGTAAGTCTATAAACGTGGTATAATTTTTTTGTTCAGAACTGTTTTTATTTTCTAGAAAATCACCAAACACTATATCGAGCCCCAACCGCCATAACAGTGGCCGAAATGAAGCCGACGAGTAGGGCAACAAAAACGTTATTCTTCAAAAGCGCAAAAGAAAGCAAGTCTTTCCGAATATTATCTATTTGTATACGAGGTATTAACAAATGATTTGAATCTAATAACGGGATTATTGACATAACTATGAATTATTGGCGAATATTTGAAAATAGCCAAAATTTGATTGATTAAAAATTTCATTTTGGAGCAGTTTTTCAATAAAAATTTTTCCTACTCGGTATAACTCGGAATCACTTGAGATGAGCATTTCTGAAAATTGGAAACGATGTTCTTTTCAAGGATATAAAAATTAATTTGGGGCTCTTAATCACTGCGAAGAAATAGCCCGATCTATTTCGTGCAAATCGCAACGCCGCCATGTAAACAACCGCAGATAATCCAATTATTCTTTTATTATCGAAGCCATAATTTCTTCAAAATCTTACCGCTTTGAGCTGTGCTTTATCAGAAACTCAATATGTTACCCTTACCTTCTGAAACCAGTGATTAAGGAGTGATGTTTCCATTATTTTTGTTTCAAATCGCCATGTTCACTTGAAAAGTGTTTACAACGTCCGGCTTGACCATTTACAATACTCGGAGCTGTTCATAAATCATCGCAAACCATCGCAACTCTTGACTTATTTCTGCTTCCATACAACTCCAGTATATACCAAAGTCTTTTTAGCACGATAAACCAAGATGCTTTGATCGCTTACAGTTTCAGTTAAGAAACGTTTGGCTCCCCAAATGGCACAACGATGTTCACCAAGTCGTGTGTCATCACTCATGTTTGTCACGCAATCACGCTAAACGTGCACAGGACACCCAGACAGGCATTCGTCTGCAGACATCGCTGTACCGAGTGCAGGGCCAACTAATATTTATTTCTTAGTCAGTGTTATGTTTTAAACAAAAACCTGCGCGAATTCACTTAAAAAACGCTGTAGATCTCTTTTGAGTGTTTTGAATTAGTGCCATTCTGAAAAACTACTTTTTGACGTTTTCATAAATTTAGTCACCCCCTGGTACTGACTATACATGCGTTGTTATCGACTATATTTCCACGACTTCGCGCTTGCAAAGATTCTATTTATCAATAGGCACTTTAAGCATGACGTTTAACGGCAAACGGCAAACGCAAGCTTGCCTTTAATTTTGTTACCTATTTATGGAATTCTTAAGAAAATCCTGCACAAAGAATAAAATAAAATAAATCAAACCTACTTAATTCCGTTTACACACGCCTAGAGACAGACGACAGAAATTGAATTTTTGACGTTCGCGGGAAAAACAAACGTCATGCGCAACCTCTCAAATGACGAACTTCCCAGTAAACTAAAACAACTGGAAGTTAATTGTCTAGTGCTCCGTGATTATATACATCACC